AAAGGAAACGAACCCGTGTTAGTGACAGGCGGGCACCCACAGGGGACTTTCGTCTTGACTTAACCAGGGCCTGAGAGAGACTTGAAGACAGAACGACTTCCTCACTGTGGGACTCAGGGCTGCCTCCCGCTGGCGTGGACCCCCTTAACGCGTCTCCCGCCCCACTTAAACGCATCTCGTGGACCTTCTCGCATCCTCCGCTTCTGGAACATTGGGTTAAAAGCAGGCCTGGTGCCAGAGGTATGTCGGCCCCGGAGGGGAGGGGGGACTGAGAAAATAAAAACAGAGCTCCCTCGGGCCATTACCGGATCCAGCCTACTCATTCCGACCCTTTCCAAACACGCTTAGAAGGTTTGCTTTTCCGTCACCAGCCTGTGAGCAAGTGGCCAGCACTGCCAGGCCAGCGGTGACGACCCGCTCTCCTCTGAACCCAAGGTGCCCGGAGGCTCTCAGGGCCAGGAGGCCCTGGATGCGACAGCGCAAACGCGAGAATACTGCGGGGGCCCGCGCCCATCTGCGCTCCGGGTCTCGAAACAAGGGACCACGTCCTGAGGTGCTGACTCATCAGCACGAGGCCAATTTGACCTCGAAACCCTTAAAAAAACAAGTATATCAGATTACGCAGCAGACTTGTAACATGAACTTGTAAGGAGCCAAGAAAACTGTGACATTCACTGGGAGCTCGGTCATGTTTTCAAAAACATTTCCCTAAAATGCATACAAAGCGGCGGCCTGACTCCCCCATAAATGACGGGAGCGGGTCTGATTTTACCTCGTTTTTGCCCCCACGTTCTGCACACTCGTTTGAAGAGAAAGGACATGTGTGGCAGGACAGTGTGGCTTTGGTGGCGCTGCTGCTCACCCGAGGAGACGCCAGCGGAAGGACCACGTGTCGGGGGCGAACGAGGGCGGACAGGCCGGGGCTGCGCCCTCCGCGCCCTCCACATGCGACCTCCCGGGGACACGTGCAGCCGGTGCCCCTCACCAACTCCGCCCCCTGCGCCCTCTCTGCCCCCTCTGCCATGTGACCCTCCACCTGCCACCCGCCCACAGTCCTGCCCTGTTCCCGTCTCCTCCGCCCGCTCGTGAGACGTGTGTGTAGACGCTCGCACACCCACGAACCTGCCGACGAGGGTGGAACAGGACCCGCGGGTGCGCCTGCGCACACGGCCGCCTGCGGAGACGCGGTCCCGTGTCCATGACTTCCCGGGAAGACACCTCTCACACCCTCCCGGGGCGCTCTGGGAGGGCGGCGCACCCCCACGTGTCAGGCCAGCTGCCTGGCTCGGGTTCCCACGACCTCACAGAGCACAGGGCCCGTTCGTGAACTGCACTGACCACGTGAACTCAAGAATGACAACACAGGACGCTGTCTCTCCGCGCCAGCCAGCACCTGATGACATGAAGACGTTAAAAACTATTCGCACTTCACCCTCCACTCTGGAAATGGCCATGAGCAAATGAAACCCAGAAACATCTAGAGCCCAGGTGAGCCCCAATGAGCAGCACAGTGTGTGTTACTGGGTGCACAGGACAGAAGCTCAACTCAGTAGCAAATGGGGGTGCGGGGT